AAGCTGTCCCACCGAAACAAGATTCCTCTTCAGCTTTGGCACGTGTTTCACGTTCTTCAAATTCCACTTAGAGCCCTTTATCTGTATCTGAACGTTGTCCTTTCCAACAATATTGCAAGGTTCATTATCCCCCAAATATACTTTACCAAAGTCCCCTACTATATAGTTCTGAAGTAGTTTCCTATTAGCAGTGGCGTGGAAAGAAGCTCCTAAGTCGATGACCCAAGAATCAGAATCGCTATCCATAGCAAGGATCAAGGCATCCTGCACGATATGAGCCTCCTGCTCACCCGCATCATTCTTTGGTGCTTTACAGACCGAAGACATATGGCCCTCCTGGCCGCAGTTCCTACACTTCCCTTTGATAGACCTAACCTTCGAGTTCGGCCCCTTCTTTACTGATTTCGACTGATTCTTGTTCTGGTTCCCTTTCTTCTGGCTTCTGCCTCTCTGCTCGAAACTTAGGGCTGAACCTGAACCTTCTGATTCGGACGATTTCCTTCTAACCTCCTCGGATAGAATCATGCTAACAACCTCATTCAGCTTCAACTTCTCTTTCCCCGCTGAATTGCTGATTGCCGTCACACAACCTGCCCAACTATCCGGCAACTGTGATAGTAGTAGAAGGGCCTGCACTTCATCATCGAACGTGATGTCCACGGAAATAAGTTGATCAACAATCGTGTTGAACTCGCTGAGGTGCATCGTGAAGGACCGTCCTTCTGCCATCTTGAGGTTGAAAAGAGTTTTGACTAGATGCACCTTGTTTGCTGCCGACGATTGCTCGTACATTTCCGCGAGCGCTTCCATAAGCCCTACCGTCGTCTTCTCCTTCAGAATATTGTGGGCTACTGATTTGGCGAGCGACAACCGGATTTGCCCTAGAGCCTTCCTATCCAGTACCTCCCAATCACCATCTGACTCCTCTTTCTTCTTTCCCTTTTCCTTGCCCATCAACGGACGATACAAGTCCTTCTGATACAGATAGTCCTCCATCTGCGACTTCCAGTAGGCGAAGTCTGAACTGTCAAACTTCTCGATCTTTGATTTGCTTTCCTCTGCCATGGCTTTCACACAAATTGCTGAACGAAGCTCTGATACCAGTTGTTGGGGATTCGAAACAATCAATCGAACCCTTGCCCTTCCGGACCTTGTGTTGAAAGTAAGAAAATAGGAATAATACCACAAATAAAGATCTAACTTGCAAAAAACAGTAAAAGAGACGAACACACAGATTTAACGAGGTTCGGCAACGTGCCTACGTCCTCGGGAGCCACACCATACAATCTCTTTATTAATTGAAGAAGAAAAATACAAGCTCTCAAATAAGGGATTAATCTCTCTGAGATTCTCTCTCTCTTTGCAGTCAAAAAGCTCCTTTTTTGATGTAGTACAAACCCTAAAATCGTATGGGGTATATATAGAATCCTGGATAAAACAGATTCCTAAACAGAACAGGAAACTGCCAAATTTACTCGCGGTCGACCGACGCGGTCGACCGATGGTCTCGCGGTTGACCATCACGGTCGACCAATTACAAAAACCCGAGACCAGTTTACTTACAGGGTTTTGGCGGTCAACCACCCCGGTCGACCGCGACCTGATCCAGGCTCTCCCAGCTTGTGTGCACGTTTGCGGTCGACCGACTCGGTCGACCGTTGATCTGTCTGCTCGTTTTCTCGTCATTTTGATTCCAGCTCTTGTCTCGAACTTTGGGTCTACACCTTAGACTAACAGTATTTGTTTGTAAAAACAAGATAGCCTCACATCGGATATTTAAGCATTTTTTAGAGGTTTAAAAACATTTAATATTTATTGGGATTTGATAGATAGATCAAAATATAGGATTCTAAACCTGCGCGCGGGTAGCACGAATAATGCGTGATTTTGACGCGATTAATTATTACACAAACTTAGCATATATTCATATATATATATATCATATATATATATATACTATATCATATATATTATATGAATATATGAGCAGCAATTCTGTGTGGTCAACTTACAGGGGCATAGAAAAATTTAGATCCACCAAACTTTTTAGCACTCATATTACCTAGAGATCCTTGCATGATGGATGAAAATATTTTTTATATTAATAAATCGGAATGAAGTGGCTAGGAAGTTTGGGTGGGACATCAACTTAAGTGATAGGAGTCTTATATATATATATATAGTATATTATTAGTATAATATAGTATATATATAATATGATATAACGTATATAGATTTTAGATGATAATATATATATATATAATTATATGATACTAGTATATTATATATATATATATATATATATATATGATATATATATATATATATATATTAAATATATATATATATATAATGCTTCTCTTTTTTTAAGATATGTTTTGAAAAGTTATGACTGTTGAAAGCATCTTTTCAAAATTATAAATAGTTTCTATTTTCAGATATCTAAACTTCAAAACTTTCTCAAAACTTTTTTCTCAAAAAGATCTGCAATACTACAAATTTATTTCACAAAGAGTTAGTGGATTTTTTTTGAAAAGTTATGACTATTGGAAGCACATTTTCAAAACTATAAATAGTTTCTAATTTCAGATATTTAAACTTCAAATCTTTCTCAAAACTTTTTTCTCAAAAAGATCTGCAATACTACAAAATTATTTCACAAAGAGTTGGTGGAAAATTTCAGATTTGCTTGCTAGAATTTTTAATTTTTCTGTTGTATCCTGAAAAGAAAATTTGTATTAACCCGAAATAAATTTGAATATCAAATGAGGCAAATATTTTTCGTTAAAGTGTTTCACGCCTCAGAAATTCTTTCTCCTCGGTTATTTTTCTAACAGCCTCGTGTCCCAAGTAACGAGCAAATTTAACTCCTTGAAGCCAAGCAAGTGCTTCGACCACAGGTATAGATAACTAGAAAAATGATAGGGGCACACCCCCAACCACACCTCCAACCACACCCCCTCTCTCATTTGCTACAGTACACCGGGCCCCACATGAGATTTTAAAATTTTAAAATCTTATGTAAGGCCCGGTGTACTGTAGCAAATGAGAGATGGGGTGTGGTTAGAGGTATGGTTGGGGGTGTGCCCCTAGTGTCACCCACATAACTAATGGATGCTATAATTGAATTAAGCAGCGAGTAGGGGCCACTTAGATTGAGTATCCCTTGTGGTTAAAAGTTGTGGAAAAAGAGTAAACATCCAGTTCTTCAAGCTTGAAGCACGAAGAAAGATCTCACCACAAGTCTTTCTCACGTGCACAGAGACCGGAAAGCTATTGGCATGACAAATTCTTCACCGTTGGCAAAGAGGTAGAAGGTAGATCTGAAGGAATCTTAGCCTAATTGTAACTATTATAGTATATTAAAGTATATCAATAGGAGTTATGCTTTTACCCCTTGAGCGGATAGGTGGTTTGCCCTTCTCCTTTTTAACCGTTGGATGATCAATCAAAAGGTGAGTTGTCATCTTTATGCCAGAAGGATTAACTAGCTGCGTTGCTAAGTAACTTCGATTCCTTACTACCATACTTTATCAAAATGACTACAAAAAGGTTCCAATAACTGCACCCAAAGTTCTAAGTTGCAACGACAGATGATAATTTTATACTCCTAACAATGATTCAATTAGTCATATCATCTTTTTTTTTTCTTTTAGTACAACATTAAATCTTTTTTCTTGTCCTTGATATTACAGATTTATGAAGTTTTTTAATAAAATTATCATATAATCTAATCTGGTGGAAGGATGATGGGAGGTGTGTTTACAGAATCCTTTTACTAGAAAGGAGACAAAAAAAAAAAAAAAACCACCGCATGTTATCGGACAGTTAGGAGGTTTTAATATGGCTCTTCTAATCTTGGGTTCAGTTCCTGACTGGTTATAAATAATAATAATAAAAATAAAGAGAGAAAGAAAAAGATCTTCAACACTTAGGGCCCGTTTGGATAATGGAAGTATTAAAAGTAAGAAGTAGGTTATAGAAGTAACTTTCAAATCTATGAAGTAGGAAGTAGTGGAAATAACATTTTTTTGTTTGTTTCATATATTTTTAGAAGTAATGGAAGTAGAAATTCTTCCTCTTCATTTACTTTTTTTGTTTGGATAACATTTGGAAATATTATTAGAAAGTAATTTTATCAATGAAAAGTTGTTAGAAGTAACTAATAAAGAAAATATTAATAAAAAAATTATTTATGTCATAATTAATATGCATTTTAACTACTTCCGAGCTACTTCTGAGTATTGAGGATTGGAAAAATATTTTGGAAGTAAGGATGACACGTAGGCGCCACATAAGCATTTAGGGAAGTATTGGAAGTAAGTTTTTCAGAGAACCAAACACACTTTTTTGCTTGGAAATAGCAGAAGTAGCCTCTACTTCTTTTACTTCAGCTACTTCACAATTACTTCCGTGCAAACAAACAGGCCCTTAGCTGCTTGCTGAGCTAGCTTCCCATCATATCCGGAGAAGCTATGTAACAATTGAAAACTGAAACACAATATGGAAATATAATGACCAACGTGTTAGGATTCAAGACATCCCAGCAAAAACCTTTAACTCAAATTCAACAGATACTGTTAATGCGTTTAAATCACATCTCTATTCGGGTGCAAAAAAAAAAAAAAAATCACTGCCATGAGATTTCACAAGCGAACAAATTTTCACTGTACACCCAAACCAAGTTTTAATTACCAAAATCGATCCATTTTTTTTAATTACCAAAATTGACCCATTTTATGCCACGTAAGCTTGATCTCATTTCCTAATTAGTCGGGGTTGCCAACCCCGACTGTTTAGGAGTTATTAAACCCCAATTAGAAGCCTTAAACCCAATTTTAATGCCCTAAACAGTCGGGTTTGCTAACAACGACTAATTAAGAAATGTGATTAAGCTTACGTGGCATAAAATGGGTTGATTTTGGTAATTAAAAAAAAATGGATCGATTTTGGTTCTACCGTGAAAATTTGTGCATGAGCCCAAGTTGAAATTGCAAATTAATCCAACTTAAAGAACAATGTAATCTATGCCCTATTGACAAAGCAACAAACAAACACAGTACAGGTGTTGCGGACCGAAGCTGATTAAATCGTGCTCGTCATTTGAATTGTACTTGAAGTTGGAAGAGGCGCAAATCTAGATCTAAGTAACTTTGCACATTCACGAGTTACTACCCCCCAATTAAGCAAAGAATAATAACGATCAGACGCTCTCTTTCTAAAAGCTGGCGCCCGGTGAATCTTGGTCACCTTTACCTTGTTTTCCTCTACGAGAGATTGTCACGCTGTCATGGGTTCTCTTCCCCATAACCCCAACTCCACTTCCATGAACATGCCTTGTGTCTCGAGACACCATGTTACCCGTGAATTTTAAGTTAAATATAATTAACCGCATCACTCTCCTCATCTTCTTGCTAATAAACAAATCTTAAGGCTTGGGTCACCGTTGCCATCATCATCATCATCCATATTATTCCATTTTCTCCCCGGCCCTCTCATGGCCCCAGCTGTTGTTCTTGGATCCGGAGATTCTGGGCCTGCTTTTGTACTACCCCCCCATATAAAATCTCCTTAGCACGCACCGCATTGTGAACTATACACAAGCTCATGTCGTCTCTCCCTCCTCCTCCACCCTTCTACGCTTAATTAAGGCGACCACCTCGCCAGCTCTCGGAGAAAGGGATGCCTATGAAACAGGTCACACGGGCAATAATAGCCCTCTTCTACCTCCTCCTCCTCCTCTCGTTTCCTATTGCTCTCCTCGCCGTAAACCCACAAGGCGAGGCTCTGCTCGCATGGAAGCGGACCTTCAACGGGTCGGTCCAGGCGGTATCCGACTGGGACGGGTCCGACCCGACTCCTTGCCGGTGGTTCGGAGTCAAGTGCGACGCCAGAAGCGACATTGTGGAGCTCAGCTTGGAGCACGTCGATCTTTTTGGTCGGATGCCGACCAACTTGAGCGCGCTCGGGTCCTCGCTCACGAGCCTAGTACTCACCGGGACGAATCTGTCTGGTCCGATACCGCCCCAGCTGGGGTCGGACCTTCCCCTACTGAACCTGCTCGATTTGAGCAACAATGAGCTCACCGGGGAAATACCAGGGGGGTTGTTTCGCCCGGGAAGCAAACTGGAGAGGCTGCACCTGAACTCGAACATGCTCGAAGGTGAGATTCCCGTCACCATCGGCAATCTTACCGCGCTCAGGTGGCTGATTCTGTACGACAATCAGCTCGCCGGGAGAATCCCGGGCAGCATTGGACGGCTTAGCGGCCTACAAGTGTTTCGCGGCGGAGGCAACAAGAATTTACAGGGAGAGTTGCCGCGGGAGATCGGAAACTGTTCGAGCCTGGAGATGATCGGTCTCGCTGAGACCAGCATCTCTGGCTCGCTGCCCGGATCGCTGGGACAACTTAAGAAGCTGGATACACTCGCGATTTATACTGCCCTCATCTCGGGCGCGATACCGCCTGAGCTCGGACGGTGTACTAACTTGCAGAATGTTTATCTCTATGAGAATTCGATCACCGGTTCGATTCCTCGCCAGCTCGGCGATCTCGCGAAGCTGCGGGATCTGCTGCTCTGGCAGAACAATTTAGTTGGAGCCATTCCAGCGAGCCTCGGAAACTGCAGCGAGCTCGCCGTGATTGATCTCTCGATGAACGGGCTCAACGGCCAGATCCCGTCCTCCCTTGGTAACCTCACCGCTCTCCAGGAGCTTCAGCTTAGCGTGAACCAGGTCTCCGGTCAGATTCCCGCCGAAATTTCGAACTGCCGTACCTCACCGATCTTAAGAGCTTACAATAAACCAGTCTCAGCACGATTCTGTGATCTCGTGCAAGCTCATCGAATCTCCGAATGCGCTGATAGGGAGAATCCCGGCGGAGATCGGGCGGTGCACGAATCTTGAAGCGGTTGATCTGTCTCAAAACTCGCTCACCGGATCGATTCCTAAAGAGATTTTTACCCTCCCGAAGCTCGCCAAGCTGCTGCTGCTTAATAATGATTTGTCCGGTCCGATTCCGGCGGAGATCGGGAATTGTTCGGGTTTGATTCGGTTCCGAGCGAATCTGAACAGAATCGCGGGCAAAATTCCGTCTGAGATTGGGAATCTGAGGAATCTCAGCTTCCTCGACCTCGGATCCAACAGAATCTCCGGAGAGATCCCACCGGAGATCGCCGGATGCAGGAATCTCACCTTCGTCGATCTCCACTCCAATCAGATCTCCGGCGTGCTCCCCGATGGAATCTTCGAGGGCTTGGTCATGCTCCAGTACCTCGATTTGTCAAACAACTCGATCATTGGAGGATTGCCTTCTGATCTAGGGCTGCTTACCTCAATGACGAAGCTGATCCTCGGAGGGAACCAGTTCTCCGGCGAGATTCCGTACGAGATCGGATCTTGTTCGAGGCTTCAGTTCTTAGATCTGAGCAAGAATTCTCTCTCCGGCGAGATCCCGGCGAGCTTGGGGAAGATTCCCGCGCTAGAGATCGGGCTGAATCTTAGCCTAAACGATCTGACCGGTCCGATCCCGGTTCAGTTCGCCGGTTTGGTTCGACTAGCAATGATGGACCTCTCTCACAACAATCTCTCCGGTGATCTCCACTCTCTGTCCAGCCTCCAAAATCTCGTATCGCTCAACATCTCGTACAACAACTTCTCGGGGAGGGTTCCTAGCACTTCCTTCTTCTCGAAGCTTCCGACAGCCAATCTTGAGGCGAATCCTTCACTCTGCCTCGCTCAGTGCGCTTCCGTCGATAAAATCGGCAATAAATCGCCGGTCGGAGCTCGAGTCGCCACCGCTGTCCTGCTCACCGCTGCGGTGCTTTTACTTCTCCTAGCCGTACTCATCCTGATTTCAAAGAGGGCACGTGGCAGTGGGACTTTGGCCGACGAGGAGAAAGGAGGCGATCTTTCTCCTCCGTGGGAGGTGACGCTGTACCAGAAGCTCGACATTGCCGTTGCTGACGTGGCGAGGAGCTTGACTGCCGGAAATGTGGTAGGCAACGGGTGGTCAGGGCTCGTGTACCGGGTCCACAACCCGGTAACGGGATCCGTAATTGCAGTGAAGTGGTTTCGGGTTCTCGGCAATATGGGGATCGTCGCATTTGAATCCGAGATTGGGACGCTGTCCCGGATTCGACACCGGAATATCGTCAGACTGCTGGGGTGGGCAGCGAATCATAAGACCAGGCTTCTGTTCTATGATTATATGCCTAACGGATCATTAGGGGGCTTATTGCATAATGCCGGATCTCCGGCAGTGGAGTGGGAGGTGAGGTTGGGGATTGCTATTGGGGTTGCAGAGGGTCTGGCGTATTTGCACCATGATTGCGTGCCTGGGATAATTCATAGAGACGTGAAGGCTGATAATGTTCTGCTCGGCGACCGGTATGAAGCTTGCTTGGCAGATTTCGGGTTGGCGAGGGTGGTGGACGATGAGGAGGCCAGGGATTCGTCGGCCCCGCCTTTTGCCGGTTCATACGGTTACATTGCTCCTGGTCAGTTTTACAATTTTTTGAAAAGTTCTTTACAAACTGTGTATTTGTTATGTTGCCATAGTTTAGATGCATTAACATGGGAATATTGTCAGTTTGACACACTGAGACACTTGCACACAAAGAGGTAGCAAATGCTACAAGGGAACATTTGTTGCAAGTGAGAAGGTCCAAACCGAGCTCGCTGAGTGCAACATGCGCTGCGTTAAGTTGGTAGCTAAGCTGATTTGGCATAATGTATATTGTTATAAAGTGATGTAGGTGAAGTACAGGAACAAAGATAACCAGAGGAGACCAAACCATCTTACTCCTGATAGCTTCAATATCTTTTGCGGAATTAATTATATTTTTTCTATAATTTGGTAGTTCATTTACACTTTCCATATAGGAAATGATAAATGCTTGCATCAAAAGCAACTGCAACTCCATTTTCTTTCAACCAAGTCTGATTGTATTCAACATGATGCAACTTCACAACAGAAAGCATGATTATGTTGGGTACTTCATACGGTGCAATCCAATTACGAATCTTACAATGGCATTGTTGAATGAATGCAGAATATGGATGCATGACGAGAATAACCAAAAAGAGCGACGTCTACAGCTTCGGAGTTCTCCTACTGGAAATCATAACAGGTCGCAAGCCCGCAACAGACCCATCATACCCAGAAGGACAGAGTGTGGTACACTGGGTCCGAGACCACCTCAGACTGAAGCGAGATCCTTCGCAGGTGGTCGACCCTAGACTTCAGGGTCGCCCAGATGCTCAAATACAAGAAATGCTTCAAGCTCTAGGCATTGCCCTGCTCTGTTCAAGCAATCGTCCTGATGATAGACCTACAATGAAAGATGTCGCTGCACTTCTAAGAGAAATCCATCATATTGACTCTCCATCCGCGTCGTCTAAAACTGGTAACGGAGATGTGCAGAAACCGTTATCTTCCTCCGGAGTCAATGGTTCCCCGCATTGTTTGTCATTGGCTTACTCGACTTCAGCGAGTGAAAACTTCAAATGATGGGGGGTATTTTGGTCGTTGTATATATGCGATGCTGTATTCCTATGACTCAAATATATGAGAAGGGAAGAACACCTGAGGTTGACATATGCATGTGGGAGGATTGAGTATCCCAAAAGCAAAAAATGAGATGTGGGGACGAACGAGCTGATGATTGAAACAGGGGAAGAGAATCAGGAGATTATATACGGAGGTTGCGAATCGAGTTGTCAGTGATTTTGTTAGGAGGATAAGAAAGGGGAGGCAGGAGAGAAAGGGAGGAGGGTGTTAGCAGCATTCCACAAACAGCGAAGGGGATATAGAGCCCACAGCTTAGTGATGGTTGTTCCATATAATTGTACAATTATTGATGAAGGTTCAAGAATGATGATAGCTTTTGTAGGGCAAGGTTGAATTGAGTATAAACCTTAATGAAGTGAAGATTTCGGTGTCAGAAACTATTCCCCTGTTTCAGATTAACTGTATCCGTTTATTTGTGCTGTGTTTCTGGGATGTGTCATTAGTTTTACATTGGCCTGTTTCAGATTAACTGTATCCGTTTATTTGTGCTGTGTTTCTGGGATGTGTCATTAGTTTTACATTGACCCAGTGTTGTAGACCCAAAGATAAAGGGGCTATGAAACATATATGTTATTAAAGACTAACTAAGCCCCCAACCAATCGGCCTTCATCTAAGCATTCAGAATGCATTTTATGTATCAAGTAACTGTCATATGCACTTAAATGTGTTGCTCGCAGCGGAAATTTCGGCAGCACCTTGGCACACAACAAAAAAGTTAAGTCGCAATAGGAATTCTCGTTTCACAAAAGAAACAAGAACCTTAAGCAAAATATCTCAACCAAGTGAGATATCAGCTCTTCCTCTCATCAGTTCTAGGACTGACCTGTCGAGGGAACCTAAATAAGTTATTACAAATCACACAAATAGCGAGACTCCCAATTTTACGTGGTTCAGCAAATTGCCTACGTCCATGGGGAGAGGATGAGGAGATTCCACTAAATCAAGGAGAATACAAAGGGTTACAATCTCACAAAACTCACAAACTAACCCTCAACCAAAGCTCTCAACTTACTCATAATATCTCACTCTCACAATGCTCAAAAGTCTCTCTAATATCTGATTACAACTCTCCTCCATTTTTGATGATTGATTCTAATCTACATATATATAGAAAAACTAAAACCAAAACAGACTAGGAATCCTAAAACAAAAAACAAAACAAATTAGGAATCCTAATAACCTCATGTTACCAAAATAGATTAGAAATCCTAATAACCTCATGTTACCAAAATAGATTAGGAATCCTAATAACCTCATGTTACCAAAATAGATTAGGAATACTGCTATCCAACAATTCTCCACCTCGACGAAGTATTCCCAAAACTGAGCCGACACCAACATGAGCACCAATGCGTCGTCTCACCAAATTCGGCTGTACCAATGTGGTTGCCTACGTACCCCCTCTTCCAAGGGATCAAGCTGTCCGTAGTTCATCCAAATGGCCGTCAACGACCTCAACAATCACGAATGTGCAACAAGTATCGACAATGATCAAACTTGTTGCTCGGAATCACCTTAGTGAGCATATCCGCCGGATTATCCTTCGTGTGGATTTTCACAATCTCCACATCGTCATCTTCAAGAACATCTCGAACGAAGTGATAACGAACGTCAATATGCATCATCCTCGCATGAAAAACCTGATTCTACACCAAATAGATAGCACTCATGCTATCACAATGAATAGTAACGAAGCGCTGCGATATACCAAATTCCTCCAAAAGTCCTCGAAGCCAAATAGCCTCCTTCACAGCCTCCGTAATCGCCACATACTCTACCTCCATCGTAAACAAAGCCACCGTCGACTGTAAGATGCATCTCTAACACACTGGCGCACGGGTCAAAGTAAACACATACTCCGTCGTAGACCGGCGCTTATCCAAATTCCCGGCATAATCCGAATCAACATAACCAATGCACAACTGTCCACCTATAGTGTCCCGCTCATAAACTAAACCAACATTGAGCGTACCTCGAATGTACCTCAAAATCCATCTCACGACGTACCAATGACCCACTCCTGGATCGTGCATGTATCTCGAAACCATGCTCACCGCTTGTGATAAATCTGGTCTCTTACATACCATCGCATACATCAAGCTCCCGACCGCGCTCGCATATGGAGTCTTCGACATCAACTCTCGATCTTCAACTGTCTTCGGTGAAAGATCAGCTGAAAGCTTCAAATGGGCTCCCAATGATACATTAACTGGCTTCGTATTCATGCTAATATGAAATCGTTGTAGAACCTTCTTAAAATAAGCCACCTGTGTCAAATAAATTCTGTCCTTCTTCTTGTCTCTGCCGATCTCCATCCCTAAAATACGCTTCGCCTCACCCAAATCCTTCATCTCAAACTTATTTGAAAGTTGTGCCTTCAACTCATCTATAGCAGATCTGGAAATAGAGGCAACCGATATGTCATCAACATAAAGTAACAAATAGATGTATGCACCTCCTTTCAACTTGCGAAAATATACGCAAGGATTAAACTGGCTCCAAGTGTACGAATGACCAATCATAAAACCATCGAATCGCCTATACCACTGTCGATGAGACTGCTTCAAACCGTATAGCGATTTCTTCAATCTGCAAACCAATTTATCTTTTCCTGCAGCTCAGAATCCCAATGGCTGAGTCATATATATTTCTTCATCAAGATCACCATGAAAAAATATCGTCTTCACATCTAACTGATCTAACTCCAAACCATATTGTGCCACCAAAGATAGCAAAATCCGAATCGAAGAGTGCTTCACCACATGAGAGAAAACCTTATTATAGTCAATACCTTCCTCCTATGCATAGCCCTTCGCAACCAACCTAGCTTTGAACCTCAATAGAGTGCCCTCAATGCCCTCATTCTTCGTGTATATCCACTTGCAACCAATCGCCTTCCGCCCATTTGGAAGCTCAACAAGCTCTCATGTATCGTTCTTATGAAGAGACTCCATCTCCTCCTGCATAGCTACCTGCTACGAATCAGCCTCCGAACTCTGCTCGGCCTCTCTGAATATAGTAGGCACCATCTCATCGATACTCTCCACCGGAAGTGCATACGCAACTGTGTCGGCATACCGTGCTGACACCCGTATGTCTCTCCTCTGTCTCCGAACCGCAATAGAATCCTGAACCTGAGCCGTTAGTCCTTAATCCTGCACATCAGTACTCGTATCCTCCGTGTCACCTTCGTGCTTGTCTGGCGTCACCTCAGTCGGCACTCTAATGGATACTGTACCATTTGGACAATGTGGAGCTGCATCGATCTCCACCACCTGCGATATTTCCTCCGTCGGGTCGCTCTCCACCTGATGAGAGCTGAGAAGCTTCAAGATGGAAGCCTCATCAAACGTGACTTCTCTACTCAGCACAATCTTCCTATCAACTGGATCCCAAAGCTTGTATCCCTTAACACCGCGCTTGAATCCTACAAATATGACCTTCCTAGCTCGATGTTCCAATTTATCTGTTCTCACATGTTAAAATACAGGGCACCCAAATAGCTTAAGCTGGTCATAGTCGTGTGCTAGCTCTCCCGACCACATTTCCATAGGGGTCTTCCCCTCAATCACAGATGAATGCAGCCTATTAATAAGGTGGCTCGCATATGTAAGTACCTCAGCCCAAAATATATTCTCCAAACCACTCTGTAACAATAAACATCGGATCTTCTCCAGTAAAAACCAATTTGACCTCTCTGCCACCCTATTCTGCTGCGGTGTATGACTAACCGTGAAGTGCCTCTATGCCATCGTCTCTACATAGCTGCAGAAAGGGGTTTGAAGTATATTAACCACCGTTGTCGGATCGTAACGTCTTGATCTTTCTCCTAGTCTGCAGTTCTAATCTCTTTTTCCACTTCACGAATATATCTAGGACTTTACTCTCTTTTTTTGCCATGGTGTACACCCAACATCGCCTAGAATAGTCATCAACGAACGTGACGAACCAATATCGACCACCAAGTGATGCAGTCTTGATGGGACCCCAAACATCTGTGTGCACGTAGTCTAGGATGCCCCTCGTCCTATGAATGGCCGTCCCGAACTTCACCTTCGTCTTCTTGCCAAGAACACAGTGCTCACAGAATTCTACTTTATCACTCTTGGCTCCCTTCAATAACCCATGCTTGTACAGCGCTTACAATGACTTCTCTCCTGTGTGTCCCAACCTATAATGCCAAAACCTGCTTATGTCCGCCTCTGAAATAGCCGAAGCAACCTGGCCAATCTCGGTGCTCCCCTTCAGATAGTATAAATTTCGACTACGGACTCCCTTCATCACCACCAAAGATCCCTTAGTAACCTTCGCTACAGCGTCTTCAAAGGTCACCTTGAATCCTTTTGCCTCCAAAGCTCCAACTGAGATAAGATTCTTCTTCAGGTGAGGAACAAATCTCACCTCCTTCAATTCACGAACTACTCCATCGTGTATCCGGATCCGCACAGTACCTATCCCACAAATGCTACAGGACTGATCATTTTTCATGACTATAACTCCCCCATCGAACTTCTCAAAAAATACAAACCAGTCTCGTCTAGGGGTCACATGATAGGTAGCGCCGGAATCAAGCATCCAATCTGATGCATCCAAGTGGTTCACCCCGGAGTAATCAGTAGAGAAAAGCTCGAATCATCGGAATCATCGTCTTTCACAACATTCACCTCATTGGCCTTCGGGCCCTTTTTCTATTCTCCTTCTCTTTGATCTTTGGACAATCTCTTTTCCAATATCCCTGCTCCTTGCAGAATGCACATTGGTTCTTTCCAAGCTGGTGACGACCTCTTGACTTTGACATTTCTCTATTACTACCTTTCGGATATGAGCTTCTACCTCTCATCGACAAGGCCTCGCCTGAAGTACTAGTATAAGAAATCTCCTTGTCCTTCCTCCTCAAGTCATAATTCGTCAATGCATTAGTAACTTCACTATAGCTGATAGAAGATCTTCCGTTCAACAAAATGAGCACAAAGGTGTCATACTCCTCATCCGGTAAGGAGCCCAATAAGATAATAACCTTGTACTCATCCGATATCTTCTCATTAATATTCGCCAAGTCCGACAACAACTTAGTATAGTTGTTCACATGAGCCGCAAGTGAGGTGCCTCTGGACATCTGGAATCTGAATAACCTACGCAGTAAATGCAATCTGTTCTCAACACTCTTCGTAAGGTACTTATTGTTGAGAATTTTCCATATCTTCATCGCAGATGTCATCCCAATCACATCATACTTCAGCTCCTGTTCCAAACATGACCTGATCACCCCACAAGCGTTCCTATTCATCTTTTCCCATATCGCCTCTTTATATTTTGATGGTCTTTCGTGGACCATGATGGTCTCCTCCAAGTTCTGAGCATTGAGCGTATCC